AATAATAAACAATTTACATTTTTTAGAGATTTTGTATGTTTCTGGAATGCAAAATTTTGCATAGAAAGTGTTTTTTTCAAACCAAATTTTGAGTAATTATTGCGGCTCAACCATCCGGAATATCCTAGTAGTTTGTTAGAAAAAATATAATAATAATAATATAAAATATATAATAATATAAAATTTGTCTTAAGAGCTTATTTGCGAAGTTTCGACGTTTCCTTCCAGGACATCCTAAATATACAAACGAGATTTATCTACTTTTCCGTTACCGGGGCTCAGTAATTAGGAGGTTTTCTGTCAAAAATTCGCCATTTTCTGGCGCCCGACTACAATACTTTATCTTACGAAGACTGCGAGAAAGTGAAATGTACTGTCGAAAGCTTTTGTTTTGGTCTGTTAATTAATCCGATTTTAATTAAATTATTTGGAAGTGGTACGGCTGATAGATTTAAACAATATTTAGTAAAGTAATACTTAGAATGAAATATATCAAAACAAATTGGCTGTTTCAACTGCTCTAAGCAACTTAGTCGCGTGCCCTTTTCGCGTTTTATGCACTGATAACTGCATTGCCTCGGTAACAAACATATGTGAATGGAAATATGATGATTGAGGTACGAACATGTTAATTGTTGCTCGGAAAGAAAAGCCCGAATATTCGAAGAAACTCTGTGCAAATCTGAATAATTATGAACTTATTTTCGTGTCGTAAAACGTTAGTTATTGCAGCAATATCGTTGGTTTTTAGAAAAGGAAATTGACGAGTATAACTTAAAGTCTTCTCGTTTGTGTACAAACGGTTCAATATACCCGTTAGTGAAACGTTCATACTTCTAATATAATGTGCAGTTAGCAGATAATCTCCCCGCCACCTCCACGTGACGCTTTCTTCACTGCAGAATCACGTCGCATTCAAATGTAGGGATGCGTGAACTTTGATACTCTGTGGAGCAAATCTAGCGACTGGAAGAAATATTCAAATGATACTGAGCAATATGATGACACTGATGACATACGCCTTCTTGGCGCATATCTGTATCAATAAAAAGGAGTTTCCTAAAAAGGAAAACTACTAGTCGCAGGAGAGTCTTATGCCAGCCTCAACAAATCTGGTTCAAAATCGCACACATTCCATTTTATCAGAATATTGACAATAATATTCACCACCCTTTCGTAATGAGTTGTTTGTGTATAAATTCAATTAATAAAGAAATCTTCCCGCAAGGCGACCTCACCATCCATCTAGGTCGGCGCTGGATCTCACCATCCAGCGGGGAAGATTACCGCCACCTCTAGAGATATAAAATGCACTACAGTTTTTTACTAGGCTGTCGGGATGACGCCGCGCCCATGGCGAAGGTGCGTTGGCACCTTCGCCATGGACGCGGCGTCAGCCGGGCAGTCTAGTAAATACTGACTCCGGCCGCGGAAACCTACGCTCTGCACTACAGTTATGCGATTTAAGAGGCTCTTTCCCGTAGCACTTGGGCCGCCCTGAAAACGAAATAAACTATCATTCAATCAACTTTCTCTATGTAATAACAATTTCTTCTTATGAATTGTATTGCAGAATTACCTCAGGCTACTAGACTTATCAAATTACCGTTACAAACGTTCCACAGGCAGTCTCAATTTTCCAATCACAGGGCTAACAGTACATTTTAACGGTAAATTAATTATCAGTTTTTCAAGGGCTCACTGGTGTTAAGAGTTTGAAAATGGTCAATTTCAATGGAAAAGCTTTAGCTTGTGTTTTGCTGTTTTGCTTTAATTGTCAGGCCTTTATTATATTAATGGCAAATAAAGCAAAAACGGAATTCATTAATAAATAAATGGCAATAATGTAAACAACAATCTTAAATAAAAACAAATAAATTAAAGCAATTTAATGCAACAATAGACTAAAATATATTAAAGTAATATTTATTATATAATCTAACCAACGCCATTTCGAATAATTAGTTATATACAACGAATAATTATTAGAAGTTGTATAGAGTTAGTAATAATAATTATAATTCTAATAATTATGGTTAACATAATAATTTTAATATAAAAGAACCACTGTTCATATGAGTGTACTAATATCACAAACTAACATGAAAAAATGTTTATGCTTCATTATGCCTTTTGATAGTATTTTGTACACGGTCGCTCTAGTAAGAAAGTGATTCAATTATGTTACACATTATCATCTAGGTTATAATAAAATTATTATTATTTTCATGAATTCTATTCTAAATTTTTGAAATTGACGACTGTGATTTTCCTTTTCTGAAACGATCAGAGTAGAGAGTCAGCTTTATCTTCCTTTGATAACTCTATGGGTAAGCGAATTAGAGAAAATTATGTAACGCTCGTTGACTTCGTAACTTAATGCTCTGTAATCAAATACTAATGAACTTGTTTCGTAATTACACACATTCATAATTGCATTTTCAAATCAAGAATGGATCAGTATCATTCTCTAAGGAACACGTCGACATTTGCATTCACGAATGGGAGGAAAAATAGGAAAGCTAAAATTTAGGAACTTCAAAAAAAAGGAATATCAAGTCTTTGTCCATTACTCACAATAGTGAACAATGCAGTGATTAACTATGATAATCTAATGGTTATTGCCAGGGAAATGTTTAGGAGATACAGTGTGAGAGCGTACGTCTTGTTGAATGATTCATCTAATAATCGACCGACAGTGATTAGAACTGAGGAATTATGTTGTATATTTAGTTACTACTAACTGAAGTAGTTTGTGGTGCCTAGGTATTACTTTGTTCATCACATTCGTCCATTATACAGGAAGAGGAATGAATATTATATCTGTATACAGTATATCCTCGTCCTATTCCATCCTGCCTGCCCTCTCCAGCGCCGCATTGCCCACAGCCACCCTGCTCTTTCCCACTGTCCTCGCCCTGTTCTGCCTCGTCTGACATTGCCTGCCCCTCCCGCTGCTCTCCCAACCCTGCTGTGCGTACTACCACTATGCGATCACCATTGCTATCATCATTGTTCCTTTGGGAAGGTGTAAACGGAAGCATTCTTGCATACTCCCGGGAAATTTCTATTTTGACCTGCAATTATTCAAATTTAATAGTACCATTAGAATGAATTAAAAAGGGTTTAATAGTTTTTATCATCTTGAAGAAACGTTTAATGCACTTTTATGGGTTTTCTAACCCCCCTTTTGAACTAAACTGCACCTTACACTTTGACTTCAGCGGTAGACAAGTGGGAATGGAGTAATTTAGAAGAAATCTCATTCTGACAGTAACTTTGTTCTTGTTTTGAGGATCACATGTAGAAAATTGCATTAAGATTGGAATAGCAGGGTAGATTTGTAACAACAACAAAAAGTTTCTGTTTTATGAAAGAGAACATAATAATTTGAAGAAAAAAGTAGCCCAAGTTATGCCTGACAAAACATTTCTTTTCAGTGAAAACAGCTTCGACGTTGGTTTAACCGTTCCCGAGATTACTCCGGACAGACAGACAGACAAAAAGTATAAAAACAATTGAATAGGTTTTTATACGACGTTATTAAGTATATGTGATTTTAAGAAGATAATTATTTATTTTGAAATAACAGACACTTCAATTTTATTTCCCTAGAAGTCTAGATGAAGTACGTTGCGTTTCGTTCTTAATCATAAACATCCTGCCTCACCCAGCCCGCTCTGCTAAGTTTCTTACGACCTTCGTTGCCACCATCATTACTATGGAAAGCTGTGAACAGATCCATTGTTGCATGCTCCCGGCAAACGTCCAAACAATTTTGACCTTCCATTACTCCGAACTTAATTCTGCAATTGGAAATATTCAAAACGTATTTAGTGTGGAATTTTATGGGCTTTTAGAACCGTTAAATTCACATTGGTGAATTTTCTCACTGTTTGAAGACATTTGCGAAAAACGAAAGAGCGCACACTTATATTTTGCTCTAAGACTTTGGAAAGGGGGATAGATGTAATTTTTACGATATCACATATGGACAGTAAGTGTTCTTTTGTTTTGAAGGTCACTTGCACAAAATTTCGTTAACATTGGAGTAAACCGATTGATTTGTCTTAAAGAAAACAACTTTGTTAATGTAAAATATCATAATAATAATTTGTTAAGTTATTTAAAAAGTGGCCTAAGTAATGTGAAACAAAACTCTCTTCCTTTAGGTGAAAACCGCATCGAAATCCGTTCAACTGTTCCAACGATTGCCCCGGAAAAATAGACATGCTGACAAACAACTGTAAAAACAAGTGAAGCTTTTTTATTATCTACATGAGCTTATGAGGTTGTAAAACGGCAATAATTTTGAAATCAGACAGAAAACTCTTATTTTATTTATATAGAAGAGAGATTGACTCACACAATCAGCCTACTGCCCTTCACAGCGCCGCAACGTCGTAATGTGTCCACCATCACGTAAATATCATAAATTTCTAATAAAAGTGTTGTATACCATGTTTGATATGCGAATTTTTCTATTTTCTCTCTTCATCATCGTTTTTTTTAAATATATTATTCTGAACGCGCTTCTTGCATTAAACATTTCCAAACCAGCTGGCCTTCCTCTGTACAGGTAAGTCAGAAAAATGTGTTATGAGGTAACGTAAACATTCCTCTGGGGACAACGAGTTATGAAGCGAATTATAATTAGTTCTGTTCTGATATCACCTATACAAGACAGTTGTTGTTGCGTCCTGGGTCACAAACCACTCACCCGATTTCCTGAGCGTTTGGGCGGAGCTTGTACAATCGCAAATGAAAGGTGCGGTCGGGATAGCGCGAGGCGGACAGGGCGGATCTTCGCCCGCCAATGGGCACGCGGCCGAGGGAGCCGGGGGTCGCGACCGGAGGGTGTCTTCCACCTAATTACCCCCCGGGGCCCGCCCCCCCCCAAGAAGCGCGCGGGGGACCGGCGCAGGGGAAAGGCGGGGCAGTGGGCCGAGAGGCTGAGAGCAGAGCGGCGGCTGCGCTGGGGCCGCCGGGGCCCAAGGAAGCGAAGGACTGAGGAAGGCGGATGGACGCGCGTGCCGACAGCAAGGCGACGGCGCCGCTGCCGCCCACGCACCACGCGGCGCGCGCCCGCCCGGACGACCACCTCACGCCACAGGTGCGCTCACAGCTTGCCGAGATTGTGTTCGGAAGGTTGGGTGGAGGAAAACTCAAGGAACACTCTTCCTTGTCGCGGTCTGATATTTCCTCTAAATCGGTTTAATAATAACATTAACTGAAAGTATATGAATATCATAGTTGGCGGCGGGATGAAAAGTGTTTGGGTTTTCACTGCTTATGTCGGAGCCACGTCTAATTGTACTTCGCACAGTAAGGGTTACACCTTTATTTATTTGATACTTTCAAACGTATAAGGTAATTTCCATGAAGTTTGTGAATTCAAATTGGGAAGAATATAGAATCTGACAAGTCCTTTTTCAAAATCGAAGACGACTGTCTGAGCTAGTTAAAAACGAACAGACATAATCAGTCTACGTACGAATAGTTAGAATTGACTTTAAACTCTAACATAGTCCAGTAGAAACTTGCTAATCCAAACCCCGCAAATCCGAAATTGCGGATAATCCGAACAAAATTCGGGATTGAGGAAAAATAAACAAAATAAATAAAATTCTTATTTGTAGTGTAAAGAAAGGATTTTATTATTACTGTAGCACTGAACAACTAATTATTGAAATACAAGTTGTCGAAATGAAATGTTTGTCATATGTTATATATCATATGTTATATATCATATGTTATATATCATATGTTTATGTAGCAGAAATTTCACTTAAAGGAACTTGCAAAATCAGTAACCTTCATTGCCGTAAGGAACTGAATCTGCTGGATGATGTCATGTGATGATGTGATTGCTACGCTACGTTGCCATTTTCTCACATTGCACGGTACGTTACATTATCTGGTAATTATATTGACGTATTTGTACATGTAGGATACCTTTTTTCGGATAATTCAAACATTTTCGAATCTGAACTGACCACACACCCAATTACTTCGGAGTACCGGGGTTCTACTGTATGCGTTTTCGTTATTTTCTTTCACCCTAATAACGGGGAATTATCGCGAATCGTAGAAATTGCGCGAATTGATATTCCTTTTGTTTTAAAGGGATATCAATTCGCGGCAATTCTCGTGCCATTTCGCTTAGTATGCGACGCAGGTAAGCTTCACTTTTCTGAGAATCAGGAACTACTCAAAGGAGGCGTTTCCATCAAAATCTCAAGATCAATTTTTAGAATATTAAATAACTCTCCTATTATGTTATTGGAATAAGAATGAAAAATATAAACGACGAATTATGCTATAATCTCTTCCTTTAGAAGTCTGTTAAAACAAAATAATGTAAACATTAAAAAATTAAACCCTTCAAAATACCTGCATAAAAAAGATTTCCCCGACAGTTCAACAAAATAAGATCTACATCAATGCCTAGACTTTCTTGCATGAAAGCAGTAAACTACTTCCGTACGAGATAATGTCAAACCCTGCGTAGCATATTTGGTGTTTTAACATACTAAAATTAATTTCATTGAAGTAGTATTTTTAGTTTTAATTAGTTTCCGATAATATTTTAAATATTGATGAATTTGAGAAAGTTAAAAATTTAAGGTACAAACTAAGCAAGTGATCATAATTAGTTTGGGAGATGACTTGCAAACTCACGAGAGCAATATTCTGGTTTATTTAAAATACATCACCGAACAATCATGTGTAGTTTCTCTGTATACTTTTTCTACACTAAGCACGTTTAGAATTTTGCTCTGTTTGGCAGGCAAATAATACATACAATTCTAAAACACGACATTTTGTTTTCCGATTATTGAAACCATATACATCCTACAAATAGTACGTACATAATATCAACGAAGATATTTTATAGTTTATATTAAATGACATAAGATTTCCTGTTTGATATCTATTACATCCATTAAAGGATGTGCAAGATTATGATAAAATTGAAACCCATTAATCACATATTTTTAAAATACTACTTGAATTTTCCGTACCTCATTGAACTATTTGGCAACGTGGAACTTTTTTAATCCAATACTGTGTGACTAATTCCTCAAATTAACGATTGTTGTTCGTTAGTCATTGTTATATTACAAATCCAATTATTTTGAATGGCCATATTTTCTTGGTACAGTAATTATACTTGTCATATAACAAAACTGCTGTGTAATTAGAATCATCATATTTACTTGGGAAGCTACTTCAAACACATGAAACAGTTTTTGCAAAATCAATACGTTTCGTGACATAGCAAATTACTTCCTATAATACTTTCTCGTGTAGGTACGAATAAGGTAACGCGTAAAGGTCCGATTTTTAGTGTTACCCCTGAATTTTCAAAATTGGCAAAAGTTGTGAATTTCACGGACTCCACCGTACAACTACAATACTGTAGATAGTATAATTTTTTTCAAAATAAATTTGTTCACCACAATTAGTTCTTTAATTAATGTTAAGAACATTTTTGAAAATATTAATCATTTTGAGTATTTTTGATTGAAATATGAGCAACTTTACTAAAAATATTTCTTGAAAACGTATTTCTCAATTTTTTATTTTTAAATTTTTTGTATGGCTACAGCACAATGCACTAATGCGCATGACATTGTTGCCATATTCATTAATTTCCAATAATAAGTACTTTTTGGAACATCTCTCACATAATATTTACATTATAAGTATCTTTGTTAATTTAATGCATTCTGTACTATCAAATAATTTCTTGGAACGTTTCTCGATATCCCAAAGAAACAAAAATATTGCAATTTTTTTCTTTATCGTCTTTGCTGTTATGGCTTGTCAAGACAGCTTAGAGGGTAGAGGTGTAGACTATTGACAACTCTAAAGGCGATGGGTTGAATCCCATTACAGGGAGACTTTTCATTCTTCCAAGTTTTTGCTCGAATAGAGAAAAGTGTGCATATAATTATAATGTAAGTTAGATTTTCCTTAAAACCTCTGATGCTTGGAAAATAGCCTCTTTAAAAATTGCTAATTCGAATTTCCCACGCTACTTTTTCCAAAGAGAGTATTTCAAGAAATAGCTGAAGAATAAGTAGAATAAAAGTAGACATTTTATAATATAACCTAACTGTTAGAAATGATATGAAAAAGCATATTTCCACTAGTTTAGCATATTACTCGCGGAACTTTTAAAAGTACCTTATGGAACCCTAGGGTTACGCGAAACACAGTTTGGTAACCGTTCCCTGTAACTATTAATTTATCACAAGTGTTGAAACAAAACCAATGTATATGAAATAATTGAATTAAGTGTTCAAAAATATTACTTTTTATAACGATTAATATATATTCACAACTTCGTGCTTCTTTTCAACGTAATGCATGTCATCCAGAAGACTATTCCCTAATAGTAGACCACACAACAAAAATGTCTCATCATTAGAAATACCACAGAGTAAATACCCCCACATGACATGACATTATGACATTTCGCATCATCACGATATCCCATATTGGCTATCGTCCCATTGTTTTTTATGTTGCACTTACGCAATGCCGACTAGCTTCGCATACAGAAATGGAGCGAAAACTGTTTGGGTTTCCTATTAGTACCCGAAAATATTTATGACAAGATAGAAGAGACTCAAGCATATCAAATATTTTAACAAAGTGTTTGAGACCACAAGAAAAAGATAAAGTATATCGTGATGACACATTTTTTAAAATAAAATATTAATGTTGATTGTTAAATATTAACTATTTCTAAACAAGTTACATTTTTGTCCATGATGTTGCTGGGTTAGCTAGTGGAACATTTATCCGAGAGTTTATCTCGGATAAATGTTCCACTATCTGGCCAAACTGTACATTCGATATATTTTCATAAGACTGCATTGTCTCTTAATGAAATCATTGAAGAAATATCTAGGAAAGGTTCAGGCTATTAAAGAAAGGAAAATTAGTGGCTGGGGAAATAAAGAAAATAAGGAAATAAGTAAATTACACTCCAAGAATTCCAGTAAAACTTATATTTTACCCTCCCACATTAAACAGAAAATTCATTTCAATTGTTATGTACATCACTATATTATTTCGTATCGAAAACGACCAATAATTGAGATTGCAAACAAGGACATCGTTTTATACATTCTATGTATATATATGCACGACAATGAATGAACACATACGTATTCGCATATTTGAACACAGGATACAAAATCAATTTGCGTGAACTTTTCGCTGGTCCCGCTCGCGGCACTTGCGATGTTGATTGTTGACGTCTATTACATGTTCTGTTCAATTACTTATTTGTTCGACAAATGTAATTCTAGAAACTTTAAGGCAATTGTCTAGCTCATGCTGCTCCAAAGTGACAAAATGCATTAGCTATTTTCTGCGCCTCTGCGGAAATACCGACATAAAATATTTTGTACTACATCGAGGGAAAGTAATTATAAAAAAAATATGAAAATACGGCTTCGTCGATGTTCGTATATAATGCTGCAATTTGGGGTCTCAAATATGCTGACATTTTGGGAAACCCTTTTTCAAGGCTAAGTGGCTTCTTCACTCAACTCCTGGATGTCCTCAAAGCCCATAGTTTGATATCTAAAATAGCTTTGAAGTTCAGAATAAATACAGTCTTTACTTCAAATAACAGCGTCACACAGGCAATTATAACGTTTTGGTCATTTTAAAATTAAGTATTTACAAATCGGTCTTTAATATGATTTTATCGATCTTTTTACCATTTTAATAAAGATACTCTTCGTTTTTTGGGACATAATGTAAGTAATCTCATTTTTTTCTTTCAAGTTTCCCGGTGAAGAGAACTTTAATTTGCAATAGACGAGCAAGGAAAAGTTACATGTTTAAGCTACAATCAAAGAAAAATGTATCTTTAAAAGAATAAATGAATGACAAAAGCAAATTAAACAATACAGACATCAAAAATGACGCAGACCAGTGTTATAAAGCTATCTCTATAATAAATTACCAGAAAAGCAATATATATGGCAAATCTTATAAATAATGACTTATAATCCAAAAGAATTATCATAACAATATTACAAGAATTAATAGATCAATATTTCAATCCAAAAAAATTACATACACATT